ATGGTCGAGTTGTCTTCCTCAGGTTGATAGTCCGCCCATTCCCCCCAAAACCTGGGGAGAGAATGTGATGCCCCATCGTTGTGGACGTGGTTGGCGTCGGGCTCAGTGTTGCTGGCGGTGGCGAAGGACTCAATGGAGCTGGTGGACCCTTTGGCTTCTCCGTTGGTGATGGCAATGCTGCTGGTGGACTCATCTGGATCATCACCAGCGGATTTGTTGAGCTTGCTGTCGGTGTTGATGTCTTCAACAAACCTGTCCAGCTCGCCATCAGCAGTGTCACTGACCAGTTCATCCAGCTCAGTGTCTGAGACCGCGCTGAGCTCATCGCCGCTGCTGGTGGCATTGATGGACCTGGAGGAGTTGGTGTCGCTGATGGCCCTGTCAGACTCAGAGTCTGAGGCCTCAGAGCCAGTGGCGCTGTCACATGACACTGTGTCATCGGTGTGGCGATCCACTTTGGCGGTTTTGGAGAAGACAACATCGCGCGACTCAATGATGGAGTCCATGTTGGGGATCCAGAGACGATGGTGCTGGGCGTTGTCATGTGCAGGTCTGAGGTAGACAGTGGGCATGGACTGGTCGTTGAGCTTGGAGTGTGTAGCTGATGGCTGAAGAATGTGGGCGTGGCACCTGAAAAGATGAAGGTGCTTGTACATGGGTGGCTCGCCCATCCAGAGCTCATGCAGTGTGTGGCCACTTTTGGAGCGTGTGGGGAGCCAGTTGTTGATGTGCGTAGTGGTCTGAAGGGCCTCATCCCACATGGAGCACAGCAGACAACTGTCAGTGAGAAGAGACTGAACCATGGTCATGATGGTGAGATTGAAGTGTTTGGCGATGCTGTTGAGCTCAGGGGAGTGCACTGCAACAGTGTCATGCGCAATGCCGTGCTTATGCAGCAGCTTGCGAAATCTGGTTGAGAGGTACTCGCCCCCTTGGTCAGTGACCAGGGAGCGGCAGCATGCAGCGTGGGGAGAGGTGGTGAGGTACGACTTGAAGGCCTCGATCGCCTCACTCTTGCATGAGAGCAGATACATGGAGGCATAGCAGGTGGCTTCGTTGATGAATGTGATGTAGTATTCAGCTCCACTGTGGGCTGATGAAGGGAAGCAGCCAGAGAGGTCGGAGTGAATGACTTCGCCAGGGGCAAGTGTGCACATGTGAGGGCCCTTTCCTGTAGGGGAGCGATGTTGGCTGGCGTGGATGCACACCTCACACTGTGCAAGTGGTCAGCTGCTGTCCACATGCAGCGCCTTGGCAATGCCAAGAAGGCGCTTCTGGCCAACGTGGCCAAACCGGCAGTGGAGGAGCTGAAGGGTGGGCGCAGGAGCAGAGATGGTGAATACATGCTGTGGGACCTCGGTGGGAATGTGCTTGATGTCGAGCTCCATGAAAAGAAGCCTGTTGTGAGGAGTTGCCTGGAAGATGGGTTGGCTGGTCTGTTGGTTGTGGAGCAGGCAGCTGGAGCTGTCGATGATGGCCTCCCTATCCTCACTGACGAGGGTGGGGATGGAGAGAAGGTTCTTGGCGAGGTTGGGAACATAAAACATGTTATGAATGGTGAGGAAGATGAGCTCGCTGTTGACCACGGTGCTGGCGTGTAGAAGTCCGCGCCCCCGAATGCGGCATCGTGTGTTGTCACCGAGATAGACATACTCATCACCAGGGAGGGGAATGTAGTTGTGGAGTACAGAGTGCTCATAGGTGAAGTTGCTGGACGCCCCTGAGTTGGCGATCCAGGATTTATTGGTTGTCACAGTGAGGGCAAAGTACTTCTTCTTCTCCTTTTCCAGGGCCTTGGCGGTGACTAGAGCGCACTCAGAGCTGCGCTCACTCTTGGGGCAGCAGTCCTGCCTGTGCTCCATACTGCACTTGTTGCACTTGGTCATTGTGTGCTCCTTGACTGTGGCCGGGGTTGTCAGAGCAGGCTCCTCATTCTTCGAATTTCCTCCACTGGAGCGAGGTCGCCCCCATCCCCCACGGCTGCCATGAGCATGAGGATTTGAAGAAAACGACGAAGATTGCTGCAACAATTGCTGCGCAGCAGCGAAGAGAACAGCCTGCTCTTTCTTCACTTGTTTCCTGGCATGTAGTTCAGACTCACATTGACGAAGCAGGCCTCAAACACTGTTGCTGCTCGCATCGTCAGACATGCTGATGACTGTGGAGACAGTCTCATAGTCTGAGGGTAGGCCTTTGAGGAGGAGAGTTTCACAGACTCCTTCAGACACAGCAAAATGCAGGTTCGAGTTGAGCTTGGAGACGATTGAATCAAACTGAGCGAAGTAGCTGTTGAGTTCTTCTCTGGTCTTCAGATGGATTGAGGCGAGTTTGCGCATCCTCACAGCAAGCCTCAATTTCTGATTCAGCATGAACTGGCATTGAAGTTCACACATGAGAAGCCATCATCAAAATCGTCCAAGATGTGGATGACATTGGGGCCAAGGGACATGGTAATTATCCCCAAGGCCTTCCCGCCCTTACCATTGGGTGGGGCTTTGGAATCCTCCTTCACTGACTCCTTTCCTTCCTTCGTCTCAGGAGCTGGCTCATTTGATGAGGAGGTGGTTGAGTTGAGTGTGCTGGGGTCACAAAGTGACCATAGCTCCTTCGCACAAAGGTACACTTGAATCTGAGTAAACCAGAGAGTGTAGCCCTCTGAAGATTTGAGAATTGGAAGTGAGGTGCTCATAGTCGTGGGAAGTGTGGGCCCATAACCTGTTGAGTGAAACAGGGGGCGATGAGCAGTGGGAGGAGTAGTTGTGTATTGAGGGAAGATTAAAAAAGAGAAAGGAAAGGAGCGCCGGTCCCTTGTGGGTATTCCACTGATGATTGAATACTAAGGAAATAGTTAAGAAAGGCTTAATTCCGACATGTTGGGCACCATTTTGGGACTGCATTGGGACTGTTTTGGGGCCTGTTCGAGCTGTTTTGGGACCATTTTGGGATAATTTTGGGAACCTGTTGGGCACTATTTAGGCATCTGTTTGGAACAATTTTTGGGACTATGTTGGCATTGATTTGTTCAAACTGCGCTGCAGTGCATGGTCTTCACAATGTGATAGGATTCAGCCCTGTCCAGGACCCTGACATCACAAGAGTAAGAGCATTCATTTGCTCGCTTGCCTAGTAAGCTCTTGACCTCACAGTGGAGTCAAACTCCGCCACAGAAAAGCGGGCTTAAGATGTGATAGGGCTCAGCCTCGTGGGGTACTTCATTGGGCTGCTAGCACCTGTTGTTTAGAAATTTCATAATTTTGTGAAAGAGCACCGTTTTTCTCGCTTGCCTTGCTTGCCGGCAGCCTGCTAATAATTTTCCAGACCAATTAGACTATGGGCTACAAGATGCCGTACGACTTCAGGGCGCTACAGTGCGCAGCTAGCTTCACTATTGTGGTGATGCAACGACAACGCGTAACACTCGTTAAACGCGTTTAACTAGTAAAACACTGATTAAACTCGTTTAACGACCTGCCCACTCGTTGAACGTGTGGGCCACTCGTGAAACGAGTGGAGAATGTGTGAAACGCGTGAAACGAGTAGAGAACGTGTGAAACGAGTAAAAACCGCGCGGAACTAGTAAAACCCGCGTAAAAATGCGTAAATAACGAGTAAAACGAGTAAATAACGAGTTAAAGGTGTAAAAAAACGCGTAAGGGGATGAGTCGCCGGCCGCGATGTCCGCGGATAATCGCAATGTCCGCGGGAGATCGCGCTGTCCGCGGATAATCGCGATCTCCCGCGGACCGCCTGCTCTTCACCGCGGGGAGGTCGCGATTATCCGCGGATAATCGCGATGTACGCGGGAGATCGTGATGTCCGCGAAAACAAGCCATCCCCTAAAAATAGAGTAACATGACCACAAACCACCTGTGGCAACACTGATTAAGCACAGTAGATCAAGAGATAATGTGCCGCCGCCCACAGCGCAGTGTCTCTGCACTGGTTCCACACGTTGGTCTTGTCAGTCGAAGCACATCCGGGGGGCAATATACATATCAAGCAGCTCAACGCAATTACTTGTTGCGCAAACAGCACGCTGTAGAGCCCTGAGTCTTGCGCCATCTTGTAGCCCGTGGTCTAATTGGTCGGGATATTGATTTTCAGGCCGCTAGCTATCAAGGCAAGCGAGGGGATGCATCCCCGTAATAGCACTTCCGAAAGCGGGACCGGCGCGGCTGTGTGCACTGAAGGGGGGCGGCGTTGGCGCGTCTGCTACAGCGGCTGTGCAGCTGTTGCACATCCCCTGACTAGTCGACAACGCCAAATCCACCCAGGGCCAGGCGGGTCGCTACTCCACCTGGCCTCCTCCCCGATGTACAAGCGCCACGAGCTGAACTAACAATGGCGGCGTTGGCGTTGGCATTGCGGGCGGCTGCGAGGCGCAGCTCGTCGTGTGCCACACAAGTGCAAGTAGTCCTTGGGGATGAGTCGCCGGCCGCGATGTCCGCGGATAATCGCAATGTCCGCGGGAGGTCGCGATGTCCGCGGGAGATCGCGGATGTCCGCGAAAACAAGCCATCTCCCTACAAGGTGTTGTGTTGGGTGCATTTAGGGCTAAAAGTCAAGCTGCTAGCGTCCCAATGAGACATCCTACAGGCCTGAATCCTATCACATCTTAAAGCCCGTTCTCTGCGGTGCATCTTGACGCTAGTGCGAGGTCAAGAGCTTACAAGGCAAGCGAGAAAATGAGCTCCTTTCCTTGTGTGGTGGGTGACCCAAAAAAGTCTAAGTCAAAACTCCGGCCCCTGCGGAGTACGGCGGATGCAGCAACAATCCTAAGTCAAAACTCCGCGGCCCCCCCACTAGGGAGACAACAAAATTCAAGTCAAAACTCCGGCCAATTGGCAATTTGCGGCGGGCTGCGAAATATTTTCTGAGGGGAGAGGGCCAAAATTGTTTACTGTGTGGAACTCTCAATGTGGGCTCTCTTCTCCTGGAGGCGGCGGGTACGCGTAGCCTCTCGGGTCTTGGCCTTCTTGTAGCCAACCCACATCTTCCTCTTCTTCTTGGAGAGGAGCATGAACCGAGCCTCCTCCTCCTCTTTGGCGGTGGTGTCGGGCAGCCTCCTCTTGGCCCGAACCTTGGCCAGCTCCTCATCGGTGGGCACATCCGCCTTCTTTTCACGTTGCAGGCTGGCCCTGTACTCCTCCTCCATCGCACGCAATTGTTCTTCCTCGCTAAGCGGCCGTTGTGAAGAGTCTCCTCCGGAGGCGGAGACGATGGGGGCCTGTGCTTTGAGGGCAAGCAGCTGTTCGCGACGGGCTGGTACGTAGCCTGAGGGAGGGAGAGCACACAAGCAGTGTTGGACGACTTTCGACGACGACGACGACGACCACAGGGGGTAAGGAAGGAGGTGCACCTTCGATTTCATCGTTCACGAAGGGCGACAGGTGAGCTGGCAATGTGGTTCCGGGAGCGTATTCGTGCACGGGAAGGAGCAGGCACATGTTGGCACTATCAAAGACCCACTGCGGCTGCACGTACTCCCTGTTCGCGAACGTTTTCTGCAGTCGGCGGCGCGTTCGGCGGCACCAAGGAACGTTCGTCAGTGCAGGAAAAAAACGGGGAAAAGTCGTAAATCAGATCGCCAGCGGTGGGCGGGTGGGTACGTACCAGCTGCTCAGGCGGTCGGTCCACTATCTCGTGGGTAATGCTCGCGTCGCTCTGGTCCTCGCTACCGGGCCGCTCGTCCTCTCGCTCATAGGAGATGCGACCACCAAAGCTCTTGACCACGAACTCGAGAGACTCCCTCGGTGTCTGAAGCGAGGCGAAGCAAATGCCGTGCGCGCGCGTTAGGAGGAGATGCCAGCGAGCTCTAGCCGACGCCAGACTGGGGAGAGGAGAGTGGCAGGGGGAACGACGACTACTACGACGACGACAGCAAGGTACCTCGCGAGATGCCCAAAAATGCAGCCCGGCGAACAGCTTCCCGTGCTGGTCGTTGTAGGCGCTCTGCTGCGCCGTGGGCTCTGTGGCACTCGCGCCCCGCGCCTCGCTCTCCAGCTTGGCGGCCGTGTTCTCTTCCGTGTAGGTGTCGTCTGCCTCCTCCTGCACTCACCCCATCATCACGCGACGCACACGGGACATGCATGTGATCCGGTTTAGGAGAGCTGTCGCTGCCGCCATCACTGTCCGCGCTCTCGGCAGACACGGGCAGATCCAGAAAGAGAGGAGAGAACTGGGGAGGGAGGCAGGCGTACCCTTTCCTCGGGAGAGGTTTCGTTGGTGGCCGTCGGGAGCGGAAAAGCCCCGGTGGCAGGGTCGGCCACGGGGGGATAGTGAAGACCCAATCCGGAATAGAGGCGGAAGAGCACGAAGCCCAGCAGGGTCTCGTAGAACTCCAGGAAGGTGATCATCACCCTGTAGTCCACGTCTTTGGGCACCTGCACCACCGCACACGCAGAGAAAGCAAGAACCAGAAGAAGAAGAAGAGCGCAATCGCCCCGCCAGGAGGAGGGGGGAGTTTCAGCATCGATCATCCGGGCTGGGGAGCATGCGGGTAGGGAGATTGGGTGTGTGTGTGGTGTGTGTGGTGTGTGTGTGGTGTGTGTGTGAGAGAGAGAGAGAGAGAGAGAGAGAGCGTACGTAGTTGCTGAAGCGGTAGGGGACGAGCCAGGTGAGCGGCTGGCCCTGCACCTCGGCCTGGTAGTAGATGCCCTTGATGGAGAGGAAGGACTTGCGGAGGCTGTGGGACACGGTGACAAAGTGCTGGAACTCCTTGGCGAGCCGCTTGCAGTTACGCACGCGACTGGCATGGATCTTTTGCGACGGCGGAAGCGTGGCCCACAGGTACACCAGGCTCAGAGCGTCGTCCAGGTCCCTCAACGCGTCCACGAACGTCGGGTACCTTGACGCGCAAGAGGAGGCGCACGCACGTGTGTGTGTGTGTGAGCTAGCCTGTCCCTTGCATGCGGCCTCGCAGGCGCGCACCACGACGACACGCGGAGGTGGAAGTAGGGGAGCATACCTTTCGCGCACGACGTGGTCGAGTTGGTAGGTGGGGAGGGCATTGCGGAGGCGCTTCAGGGTGTACTTGTCCTTGCGACCCTTGGCCCGGCCGATCTTCTTGGAGAAGGCCCGCTTCTCACGAAATTTGATCAACAGCGGGTCGTGCATGAGGAACAAGATGTCCTTCTTGAGGTAGTACGTCTTGGACTTGCCCTTGAGCTTCTTCGTGCTGGGAGGGTCACGGGGGAATACGCCCTTCAAGATGCACAATTTACTGGAGTACACATGCAAAAAAGGGGGGGAGATTAAATTCACGTATCATGGAAATTGGGAAAATGCCTGCGAGAGAGATAAATGGAGGAAAGAAACAGAAATTACCGAAAGTCCTGCAGGCTCACTTGCAGCTTCTTCATGGCCCGCACGCGGGTGACATACTGCGTGGCAATGCCACTCTTTCCTTTCTTCTTGCCGATACCCATATGGCTTGCTTTCTTGTGGGGGAGTTGAGAGAAGAGGCCTTGTCTTGCCCGTCCGGTGTAGAACACGGCTTCTTTGGACGCCAAGGCTTTCTTTTCTCCGCCAGCAGAATTAGGAAGAAGGCAGGAAACCCCGCCTCCGCCGGCGATGGGAAAAAGAGAAAAGAGAGAAAGAAAATAAGCCCGCAGTTGAGCGAGATGGAACACCAGCAGCAGCAGCGTAAGCAGCGGGGCGGCGGCGGCGGCGGAGCAGTCGGGGCCAGCCAGAGTGCCGAGGCACCCTCGAGACGGGCACTGGGTCCCACCACCCTCCACTTTGTGCTACGCACGGAGCACGAGGCGCAGCTCTACGCCCTCCAGGCTCCTCCGTCCTCTGCCGGCAGCACCGGCCCCTCCGCGCCCGAAATCGCTAAAGATGACCGCCTGCGCCTGTACGCCTGGACTAGCTCCAGCTCTTGTGTTGTGGCGCTTTCTGATTTTAGTCTATTTGTGCTTCCCCCCCCCCAACCCATCCAGGGAGGGTCCGCACGTGGTCGAGTTTAGCGCGGACGGGCGTCTGGGAGCCGTGGCCCACGGAAAGGGCGTGGCTGTCGCGGACTGCGGAGAGGGGTGGGCGGTGCGGCACAACCTGCCCGAGACCGACGTGGCGGCGCTCTCCTTCTCGCCGCGGGGCAGCTTCCTCCTCACGCTGGCGCGCCTCCCGTCGGCGCGTGTCGGGCAGCCCACCCCCGTCCCCGAGAAAGGCAACCTCTGCGTGTGGGACACCCGCTCGGGCCACCTCCTCGCCCACTTCCTCCACAAGAAGTCCGCCCTCGACGCCTGGTGCATACATACATACATACCCGCCCCGCCCGCCACGCGTCAGCACCGCGCTTGCTCCCGCGCGCGCTCTCCCCCTCGCGCGCCCACCCACCCACCCACCGGTCCGTCCGCCAGGCCGGTTATCCGATGGAGCGAGGACGAGGAGATCGCCGCCAAGATGGTCACCAACGAGATCCAATTCTTCTTCGGAAGCAACTTTGTACGGCCTCCCCCTCCCCTCACTCGTTCCACCAGCCGCCGCCACATGCCCATCATTGTGTTGTGGTGTGATGCAGTGGCTTCTTCCCTCCTCCTCCTCCTCCTCTCTATCTCTCTCTCTCTCTCTCGTGTGCGTGTGGCGTGTGGCGTGTGGCGTGTGGCGTGTGGCGTGTGGCGTGTGGCGTGTGGCGTGTGGCGTCCCATTGCTGCTGCTGGTGGGGTGGTGGTGTTTTGAGGTTCGATCCTCACCACACGTCCGCCCTTGGTGGTGTCGCGTACTACTACGACGACGACGACGACTACTCACTAGGACCAAGTGACCAAGCGCATCCGGCTGGAGGGAGTGTCCAATTTTGCCTTTGCGCCGGGGACCCTCCCGCCAGTCGTGGCAGCCTTTGTTCCGGAGAAGAAGGGCGGGCCGGGCCAAGCCTCCATCTACAAGTACCCCGCCGTCGACCAGCCCGTTGCCAGTACCAGCCCACCAGCCACCAGCCACCACCCCATTGCACGTGACCTTGCTCACTCCCGCTTGGCATCTCGCGAAACCTCGGCACGCACACGCACACGCAGCCAAAACCCTGTGGAAGGCGCAGACCGCAGAGTTGGAGTGGGGTCCCAATGCCTCGGGGCTCCTCGTCGCGGCCAAGACTGATGTCGACAAGTCCGGCAAGTCCTACTACGGAAGCACCACCCTCCACTTTGTCTCTCCCCGAGCGGCCCCCGACGCCGCCCTTGCCCTCGGTACTCGTTGCACCCCACACGCCACCACACACACACACACACACACACACACGCGCATCCATCTGGGCGGGCTGGTGGATGGTTGGACGATGCGGTTTCGGTGCCCCACTCCTCAATCGCCCGAAATCTCACGCATCACCTCCACCGCCACCACGTCATGCCACGCCAGATGAAGATGGACCCGTCCACGAGTGGAGCTGGAGCCCCGACGGCTCCAAGTTCGTGGTGATCTACGGCTGTGCGCCCCTCCTCCCTCTCCTCCTCCTCCTCCTCCTCTCAATCCGCATCCCTTGCTCTGCTGCCCGCCCACGGCCTTCCCGGAGCCTGAAAGGGGCCTCGTGTGTTGTTGTTGACGTTGTTGTTGTTGTTGTTGTTGTTGTTGTTGATGATGATGATGATCGGGTCGCGACGTGCACGCTGGCGGTGACGCAGACATGCCGGCACGTGCGACTTTGTTCGACGCCAAGTGCAACAAGCTCGCCGAGTTTGGCAAGGCTGCACGCAACACCGCTCGATGGAGCCCGTGCTCTCGCCTTCTTGCCCTCGGCGGCTTTGGCAACCTCAATGGCCAGATTGTGCGCCCCGCCTCCTCTTCCTTCCTTCCTTCCTTCCTTCCTTATTTTTTTGCCCGCGGGCACCTGTCGTGCCCACGCGTGCTCATTGTGCGATGGTGGTGGATGTGTGTGTGCGCGCGCGCCGTGGCTGCTGCTGGTGGTGGTACGGTGGCTGGTGGCTGGCTGCCTGGCTGGTGCGAGAACAGGACATCTGGGACGTCAGCAAGGTCCTCAAGGTGGGCAGCTGCCAGGCCAGCTGCGCCTCTTCACTCGACTGGTCCCCGGACAGCGCGTACCTCCTCGCCGCAGTCCTCTCCCCTAAGATCCGCGTCGACAACGGGTACGCCCCCCTTCCAACGGCTCCGCACGCCCGCGCGCTTCTCTCTCTCTCTCTCTTTCTCTCATGCGTTGGCTGGTCGGTGGTGGTGGCTGGTGGTGGTGGGGAAATAAAGGGTGACCGTGTTCCGCTACAACGGCAGCGTAGTCGGCCACCTTGCGGTCGAAAAACTCTATCAGGTTCCTACCTGCCTGCACTGCACTGCGCTGCACTACACCTTTTCCCTGGAGGAGGAGGAGGAGAACAACAACTGACGTTTGTTCCTCCTCCTCCCTCTCCCTGGCAAGGCGGCGTGGCGCCCTGGGCGGCTGGAGGATTTCGCCCTCGTCCGAATTCGTCCCGCCAAGACCGCCGCCGCCGCCGCCTCCTCCTCCAGCGGCGGCAGCCCCGGTCTCGGCTCTCGAGGTGGCGCAGCCGCGCCTGCAGGTCAGTGCACTCCCGCCTCGCCCCTCCCCAAACCCCACCCACCCACCCACCCACATGGCCGGCCACCTCCTTCCCGCGTGTGGCGCCCACCCTCGCTGCTGCTGCTGCTCTCATAGCTCACGCCCGTGCGTGCGTGCGTGCGCACAAACGAGCAGGAGGCAAGCCTGCCATCTACCAACCCCCGTCCCGCCGCGGCATGGGCGCTGGCCCTGTGAATGCTCTCGTACCCCTCCCCCCCCATCCGACAGCTTCTCTCCCTCTCCGAATCTCTATCTACACATCTCTCTCTCTCCTCTCCAAATCTATATTTCCTATATTCGGTGCATAGGCGGAGAGGAGCGGGTCTTGGCTGACAGCCTGAGGCCTCTCACTCTCCCTCCTCCTCTGGTTCCCCCCCCCCCGGGCTCCGCGACAGAGGGAGGAGGACGAGGAAAGCGAGAAGCCGAAGAAGTACACGGCGCCTGGCCAGCAGGGGGGCAACAAGGAGGCACGCAAAAAAGCTGCCCCCGAGCTGCCTGTGGGCTTTATCGCGGAGAGCAAGACCGCCAAGCGCAACAAGCAGCGTCGCCAGCGCAAGAAGAATACCGTACGCCTCCCCTCCGGCTCCTCCTCCTCCTCCTCCTCGGCCCAGCGGTCGTGGTGCCAGGCCAGCGGCAGCAGCCCCACTGACTTACGCGTGGTGGGACGCACGCATGGGCAGGGCGAGGAGGAAAGCGAGGCATCGCAGCAGCAGCAGCAGCAGCAGGACGAGACGCAGGGCGCTGTGACGGCCGAGGACGCGGCCAAGAAGGCCAAGGCCATCGAGAAGAAGCTGCGCCAGATCGCTGGCCTCAGGGAAAAGCAGGCTGCCGGCGCCACGCTCGACGCCGACCAGCTCCAGAAGGTCGCCGCCGAGGCCGACCTTCGCGACCAGCTCCAGAAGCTCAAACTCTAGTTTTTTGCTTGTACCCCTTGGGGTCGTGCCTGCCCACCTCTACGACAACGTGTTGGTTCACCCTCCTCTGCTCCTCGCACACGACACAAGAGAAGACCTCCTCCTCCAAGTCAGACACGGTGTCTATTTTGGTGAGAGCCCAGGTATACCACTACCCCCCGCGGGGCCACGTCGTCGCACTTGGCTTCAGAAGGGACTCTGGCGCCCTCTTCTTCCGGTGGCGGCTGGGGCTGGCGGCTGGTGGCTGGCGGCTGGTGGCGACGGGGCGATTGAGCTAGGGCCTCCTGTCTCCTGCTGCTCCTTTTCTAGCGGGCGGAACCTCGCGCCGGTAGTTCTCGGCGTCGTCCTCCTTTTCCTCCTCCTCGTCTTCCCACTCTTCCTCGTTGCCTTCCTCGTCGTCGTCTTCGTCGTCGTCCTCCCACTCTTCTTCGTCGTCCTCGTCGTCCTCCCAGTCGTCCTCTTCGTCTTCGGCCGCCTCTTCGTCGTCCCACTCAGCTTCGTCATCGTCCAGGTCCTCTTCCTCGTCATCTTCGTCGTCCAGGTCCTCTTCGTCCTCGTCCTCGTCCTCCTCCACCAGGTCCTCGTAGACATCCTCCACATCTGCGTGGGCGTCCTCGTTCTCCTCGGCCTCATCGTCGTCGTTGTCTTCGCCGTCGTCCTCCTCATCGTCGCTCGTCAAGGCCTCGTCCTCGTCAGTGTCGAGCGTGTCGTTGGAAGCAGCAGCCGGCTGCTGTTGGTGTCGGCGGAGTGGGCCAGTCGACGTGGCAAGGCTCCTCCTCCTCGCGAGGAGTAGGGCGGTAGGGGTCGAGGCCACCGGCCGAAGAAGAGGCACCGCGGGGCTGCGACGCAAACAGAGCTCTGGCGGCGCCGCCGCCGCCGCAAGGAGGAGGGAGGAGGGTGGTCCAGTGTACCTCCTCGCAACTGCCCAGCACTGCTGCGCGGCAGTGCGCCCTCGGTTCCGCCAGCCCACTCCTGGCGCAGCGGGCGACGAGGAGTTCTGCGTAGTACCGCCCTCCTCTCCTCTCCACTGCCCGCCCCTCCACGAGGAGAGACACGCATCGCTGCCGTTGGGCGGTAGCGCACAGCCGCTGCGATGTCCAACCAAGGGACGGAGGAGGTGTAGACGTGCCACGCTCCCTGTTCCTGAAGCACACGGGAAATAAGCCACTGCGTAGCTGGGAGTGGAAGGCTTCTGGCTCCTACTCGCTTCATGATGATGAGGATGATCGCTGCGGCTTGGAATTTCTCTCTCTTTTCTTTTTTCCTTTTCCTTTTCACACCATTCTAGTCCTAGAAAATACGTATTGGAGAAAGCGGCGGATTCAATCCGTTCTGTTAGGAGGTGAGATGCCACTCCTTGATAGAGTAGTGAGACACCAGGCCATGCTCGAAGTAGGGATCTGCTCGAACAAACTCTTCCACATCTTCACGCCGCGGAACCTTGAACACGTAGGCTGCCCCCGCCTTCGCCACCCGCTTGCCTTTAGTAGCTGCTCCATGCCTTGGGGGGGGGGGGTTATGGGCGTACGGCATCGGCAAAGGCACCACCCATGACGACCTTGCCCTGCTCCTTGTGAAATTGAGCAAGGGCCAGGTGGGCAGCGCGATAGGAGGTCCGACGAACAGTCATGTCCTCCACGTACTCGTACAGGAGCAGGAAGGTACTCTCTGGGAATGAAGAAAAGATGACATCAGATGAGCAAAAGCAAACCAGAGGGGATGAGAGGGCTGGACGCACCATTCGCTGACGAGGAGTACTGCGTGGGTGGTTGGAGGCGGCCAGCGCCGACCACAAGGGCCGCAGCACCCGGAAGGTGGCGGCGCCCACACACGGAAGAAAAGGACGGCAGCAGCCGGCGAGGTAGATACATTTTTTTGAGCCAGTGGTGCTTGCGTCTCCTACTACCCCTACCACCACCACCACTTGCAGTACTACCACTTGCAGTAGGAGGAAGAGGCGCGCTCACCCGAGAAGCAAGGACCCGGCAGCACTGCTACTCGTGGTCGACGACATTCCGGCCAATCCTCCAGCAAACAACCACCACAGGTCCTCTATCGGATAGAGAGTCTATCCCTCGATCTGGTTGGTGGGGGGTGTTGCCGTGGGGTATTGTTCGTTTGCTCTCCTGTCGACGACATCAGGGCCCTCTCACCACGAGGAAGACGATGCTGGGTCGGTGGCACCGCCGCCGTCGCCGCCATTGTGGACGAGGGGCAACAAGGCCCACGAGGAGCTTCCTTCGTGCGAGCCCGCCTCGCCTTTGTTCCAACCCTCCTCCTCTTCGTGGCCGTCGCTTTCGCCCTGGCCGCCGACACGATGGGCTGCTGCTGTGCGCAGCCCGGCTCGATGGTGGTGATGACGACGGGCCATGGGGAGAGCGTCGTCGTCGTCGTCGTCGCGGTGGCTGCTGCCGCTGGTGCTTCTGGCGGCGGCGGCGGCAGGCCGCAGGAGGAGGAGGAAGCGGTGGAAGGCGCGCAGCGAGGAGCGGTGGCCCACGGAGATGAGGGTGACGCCCTCCTGCTCGCACTGCCGGTAAATGCGCCGCTCCATGGCCTCGTCCATGAACGACGTGGCTTCGTCCAGCACCGCAAACACC